CTGCTGAAAGACTGTAAGGTCCACGTAGATGGTCTGGAATGTGAGTAACTTCCCAGTTCTCTGACTCACCCCTGTAGATGAACAATTTTATGACTTTTAAATAATAGTTTATGAATCATTTGGAGGGCTGTAAAAGATGATGTGTGGCACTCATTTTTGTGCCAATGCTTTTCTCTGACTGTGATAGGATATTAGTGAATCCTAATCAAGGGAGAAGAGTACTTGCGTGAACAACGTCTGCAGGAGCACAAGGACCTCACAGAGAGTAAAATTGGCACAGAAGACGGAATTTCTTTGCTTTCTTGTTAGAATTTTTTGGCTTTGTGTTATCTTTTCATGTCAGTATTACTATCCTTGAATCATTGGCCTGTTACTCGTGTCTTGATGATTGCACATCTGTCCATGATTTTACCTTCTCTATCTTGCATAGTTTTAGGCTTGTACACTTTCTCATGCCTTAACAGCAGTCTTCTCAACACAACAGAGCCGAGGTTACACACCAATGCTGTATTAAATTAGGCTTTGGATCACAGCCTGAAATGCTGTGCTGAGTGTTACAGAGGGCTAGAAGAAGTGTCTCCGCTACACTTTATTTCAATGTAGTCTGCAACGTGAGATGAGCATGAGATACCCCACCTCTGTAGAGCACAGATTTCTTCAGGCTCTTCAGAAACTATATTTGATGTTTGTTCTGTGCTGCTGCTGCATGCTTTCAAATTTCCCTTCTGACAAGGTTCAAAAGATGAGGGGCAGTGTCCTAATGGAGCACAGCTCATTTCTGTCACTGAAGCTGCTCTTGCTAACTTTTTTTCCCACTTGTTTGCATGAAAGCAGGAGTCATTACTGTTTACTTGATGTCACTAGGCTGTAATGACTCAGCTCTGAAAAGCTCTATTTACAGTCAGCCAAATGAAACACACAAGTACACGTAGGTATCTAAAGCAGAGGGCTTGTCCTTCTGATTTTTAGAATAAAATACAGTGGTATGTTCCAAAAACCACTGTGGATGTTCCGATTTAAATTCTGTGTTAGCCAAGAGACTGAGGTACATGTAATTCTTGAGTAGCATGGCACATGGCCAATGTTCCAAGAAATCTTCCTGACAATTTTTTTATTGTCATGGTCCTTTTTGAGTAATTTTGAAGGGAAATGAAATATCTTCCATGTTGTACACGATCGCAGGTGACAGTATGAGCAAAATGTAAGTTCTAGATCCGCTTGCATTATTTCTGTGACAGGAGGCTGGTACTTTTTTACATAATATGAAATTACAAATGCAATACAGTAATAGCCCTTTTGCATCTCAGTTTCCCACTTTGTAAAATGGAGTGATTTGGTGGAATTAGAATGGAATACAGTAACATTGTTAAAGCACTCTGTATCGTATTACCCATTTGCGAGTTACCAGTGGTGGAACATAGATTAAAATGCTGTTTGGATAGGATAGTCTGGGATAGAAGAGAGCTTGTATAGGAAAATGTTTTCTTTGCTCATGTAATAGTATTGAATTGGGAAAGAAAATCCTGCTGGCTTGCCAACATATGGGAACTTGAAGACTATTTGAAGACTTTTTGACCGTTTTGAAGTGAAGAGCCTGGTCTGGCTGATCAGGTCTGATCTGTAAAAATCCGAGGACTCAGGAGTCTACTGGTATAGGTTGCTGTGAATGACAAAGCTCATATCCAGTGACGAGGAGAGTACTTGTGGCCAGAATAGCTGGCCCAGGAATGTTCCTGTCAGCTTGGTGAGGAAGATTTTTGAGTTGTGTCCAGGGATTTTTCAGTGCGTCACTGAGTTAGGTGGCTGGCTGTTTATAGACTGGACAGTCCTCAACAAATCTGTGCTTTTCCAGTCAGATGCATAATCCTGCTGCCACCTTAGCTCAGTGGCAGATTTTTCAGCCTCTTTAATGAGACCGGGGGTGGGATACGTGCTCGCCATCTCAGAAGAGTGCACAGGTTGCTCTCCAGCTTGAATAGGGCTCCCATGCTTTTAACCAGCTACAGAACAAGTACTGCTTAGTTTGTGTAAGCAGCTCAGAATGTGGAAGGTTTGGTTAATACATGTCTGCTCAGTCAGCTGTGGTGGGTTTTGGGGGGGGTTTCCCCCCCCTCCAGATTTGGGATTCCCCTGTGTATAGTGGAAGAGGTCTCACTGTGCTTTTGAGGTTATGGTCTTTGAGAAAGGTGGTATTTCCCAGACTCTCCAGGTCTCTTCAGGTCCTGTAGTTGTTGATTAATCTGTGAACTGCGTGCAGTGTTCGAGAAGAGACAGAGCAGGAAGGATTTGCCTGTCCAAATATAGACTTCTGCTTTGGAGCGGGTTGTCTCTGTTTCCTCAGTGGAGAGAAACAGGTGGTGTTGGGGAATGACTCATCTCATCCAAGGCTGTGTCCCAATAACTGTCTGGCTGCTCAGGCGGTCAGAAACAATGCGGTCAAAGTTTCGTCAGAGCGGGACTCATTCATGCCGGGACCAAATATTCCACATTTTCTTCACGAGCTCGGAGCATGTTTGCAATTAGCAGAAAGTTACATTATGTTTATTTGACCCATGCGTATTCCTCTTGAAAATAATAGCTTGATTACTGTTGTGATAGGTTTTCATTGGCTAAGCTCAGTGGTTTTTTAACTCGTGTTAATTGAACAGAGGAAGAAAATGCATACAGGTTAAGAAAGTTCTTGGCTATTTTTAACAGACTAGGTGGCCAAGTGTCTCTCCAAGTGAATTCATACTTCATCAACTGAGAGCAAAACTGCAGCTTGTCCATTCGTAACATGCCAAGAATAAGAGTCTTATTCCTGTTAAATGGTTGTTTTTATTCTACATTTGTGCTGGCAAATGCAGCTTCTGAAGGACTGAGAATATGAATAGGGTCTTCACCATTTCAAGTGGGGAGAAATTTTGCATCACAGGAAGCTCTGCACGCTTACAGCTCTATCTTTGCTATAGTTCTCAATTTCAAGTGCCAAAAAGGCTGGTCTTCGAGGATAGCTTGAAGAGATTAATCTCTCTCCATTAACCAGTCCTGGTGAACAAATCCTGGCGATATTCCTCTTTCAGGATCTTGACAGAATACTCGGGCTTCTGATGTTTCTTCTAGGATAAGAAGATTCCACCAGACTGGAAGAATTGGTGGCTTGTTTATTTACTACCTGGGGTCTGACCTGGAGGAAGAGGAAAAAAGCTGGAAAGCAGTAGTCTCCCACTGGAATCTTGGCTCGAGGTTAATAGGTGAATGACGACATCTCTGTTCTGCAGCGGGGCCTCTCTGACCTTTCACTTCCTGTTAAGTTGTGAAATGACAAAGTAAACGTTTAACTGAATGTGGCAGCCTGAGACAATTGGCCCTATTGTAGAAGGAACACCAGTCCCTTCTCTCTCTGCATAAATTATTTTCACTGGCAATGCTAATAGAGCTGCAGTGGAAGAAAGCCAGGCCTTTCTTTGGGCAAGACCCAAGTTTAAGCAGAAATACAAGTAGCATGTGGCGTGGTCCCTGGAAGTGTCCTGGATGCAGCAGGGCTGCTGGGGATTGCCCACAGTCAGAGCCCTTTCAAAAATATTTTGTTTGTAGCATAGGAAATTGATTTGCAATACTGAAGTCTTCAAAGCTCTGCCATGGGGGGTTGGTGGGAGAGGTTGGATGTGGCGTCATATTTTTTACTGATATAACCATGCCAGAGTGAAATTGCTGAGATGTGTTGCGTGTACAAAGAGCAGTCATTCTTCAAACTTGTTTCCTTGGTCTCCTGGCACTGCCATGACTCTGCATTCCTAGCTGAGGCAGGCTTCTCAGCGTGAATAAAACCATGAGTTCTAAAATGCTATAAATTTACCTGAACTTCTTGTTCATCCAATTCAGATTTAAGTGGTCTATTCCCTTGTTCCAGACTCACCTGTTCATAACAGCCTTCAGCTGTGCTTTGCGATGATCTGTCGTAATGTTGGAGCCTGCAATAGCCTCCGGCTGAAGAAGACCTAGCTAATACTGATGGACTACTGCTGACCTGGTGTATTTCCAGATACAGTCCATGAGAACATTTTGTCCTGCCTTTAAAATACTGTCTACTGTACATGTAAGTAAACTTTACAAGTAGAAAGAGAGAATCGGGAAATACATTCATTTTAATGGTAGTTCTGCCCATCTGATAAATCTGCTGCCCTACTTTATTTATCGTGGGCTTTTTTATTTTAGAGCAGATTGGTAAGTAAATTGCTTTTAATTAGATTACATATCAGTAAGGATGGTACGCATTTAATGGACATTTAACACACTTCTATTTATAAAGAGTTTTACTTTCTCCTCTCAACTGTGCTAGAATGCAGATGCCAGTCTCTTCTGACTTCCTGTAGTTAATTTGATAGACTGGATCAAATCTCCATTTGGAATACTGTTGCTTTCAAAGAATATTGGTCTTGTGCAAAAAATGCAGCGTCTCAGCCACATGAAGATTTGCCTTGTATCCACCCCATAGTCGCCAGAGAGCCTTTTCCTCTCTACGGCACCTGTATATTCTCGGTCTGTTCAGTCGGAGAGTTGCCTTGTAGAGTATTTTAGTTTGCTTTTATTATTGTTTTCATATCAAGTGGAAAAAAGGTATTTGAAATGGTGTTCATTTAGGTGAGGGGCACTTTAGTATTATCTGCAGATTTTCTGTTTGCTTTAGTTCTTGATTCGTTTTGTGCGCATACCTAATTAGTATACTGGTAGTCTCTCTACAGACGTTTCTGTCAATGTATCTTTGCAATAACGTTTCTTAGTGAAATGGGTCTCTACAGACAATCCTTATCTTAAAAAGGGAATTAAGGACCAATGATGTCTACATATTGTGCCACCATTGAGCTCTAGCTACAGACAGCCCTTGCCTTGGGTGAGTCTTGAAATTCATTACTTCTGTCATGTATGCAGAATTAGAATATTTCAGGGAAAATGTCAAAAAATCAACAAAATCGGTGGTACGTACACAGCTGACCACTGAGCCCTGCGATTTTGTGAATGGGAAAGTCTTCATTAATTGTTTTGGACTCCCCTCCCTTTCTTTGTTTCTGAGACTGTCCACTAGATGGTTTTCACAAGCATGTATTCCCCCAGCTGTTTTCTAGGGGGACTTCTAAATGTCACGTACTTTGATCTGCCAAGTCCTTAGCCTGGCCAGGCAAAATTGCCCCTTCTCTGTGAGAAAAATTTAAGGGCTTTAAAAATGACACTTCCACAGTTTTTCAAACGTGCTGCGCCTCTGTTTATTCTCCCAGCGCCACTCAGTGTAAATGAGTTCCTGTTAGTCACACGAGAATTTTTTTATAACCCAGCATGCAATAATATATTCTCAGTCCAGTGTTCATTAAACTGTTGTACTTTCATGTTCATACCATCATTGTATATCTGTTCTTTGTCAGATGGGCACCTATAAGCTGCCCAGGAGATGTCTTACAGATCTGTTCAAATTCTTGTGGCTTAGACCTGCCAAAGTTCTCATGTCTTCTGTTTTGTGAGGCTCCATTTGAATGAGGATGAACTTCAAGAGCTGTAGTTCAGACAGCAGTCTTAAACTACTAAGCTCTCATTGAAATTAATTTTCTTCAAGGTTCATTGCTTTCTCACACTTGCCACCATGATCACTGCTATGCTGAGCTCTCTGAATTTTTTATTGCTGCCTGCTGGTGAATCTTTTAGATGGACTCATTGGATTGTAACTCGGTGGGTTTTTTGATAGGTATATTAAAAGTGGGCTGTGCAAGAATATTCTAGTGTATACAAAGCATAATACCTATTATTATTTCTGCTCCATGGCTTAAAATGGACCACTGTGTTGTTTAAGGAGAAAAGGAGTCTAAACAGCTGAACTCTGAGTTGTCCGGCTCCAAGCAGGGAATGTTACAGCCTAAGGCTGGCAATGCTGGAAGCACAGACAGGACAAAGCTGCTCCTGCATGTTTTTCTTCTTTGTAGCAAGCTGATTAATTCCTGAAGTAGAATGTTGATCGGGGCTGGGCATGGAAATCCTATCTTGCCTTTGCTTGTGTGGATGAAGGACTATGGGGGGAGTTGGTATTGCCAACGAATGCCAGACGCTGATTGATGCTTCTTCCGTTCCAGTCACTTAAAACTTTAAGTTTATGCAAATAAGCTGCCGTGCTCTCTTGTTTTACCACACTTGAAATAATGCAGAAGTTAACTGTCTAGCAGAAGCAATGAAACCAGACAGAACAGTATCTTGTTCTTTTATGTATCGTCATACGACAAATTTAACCATGTGTACTTGCCTCACTTTCTGCCTCCGTTTTATTTTGTCACTGTAGAATCACAGAATCATAGAATGTTTTGGGTTGGAAGGGACCTTTAGAGGTCATCTAGTCCAACCCCCCTGCAGTGAGGAGGGACATCTTTTAACCGGATCAGGTTGCTCAGAGCCCAGTCCAACCTGGTCTTGAATGTTTCTATGCACTACCTCTCTGGGCAACCCATTCCAGTGTTTCACCACCCTCATTGTAAAGAATTTCTTCCTTATATCCAGTCTAAATCTACCCTGTTTTAGTTTAAGACCATCACCCCTTGTCCTCTCACAGCTGGCCCTACTAAAAAGATTTTCCCCATCTTTCCTTGTTTCCTGCAATCAGGTCTCCCCGCAGCCTTCTCTTCTCCAGGCTGAACAGCCCCAACTCTCTCAGCCTGTCCTCGTAAGAGAGGGGCTCCAGCCCTCGGATCATTTTAGTGGCCCTCCCCTGGCCCCGCTCCAACAGGTCCATGTCCTTCTTGTGCTCAGGGCTCCAGAGCTGGACGCAGGGCTCCAGGTGAGGTCTCACCAGAGCAGAGCAGAGGGGCAGAATCCCCTCCCTTGCCCTGCTGGCCACGCTTCTCTTGATGTAGCCCAGGGTAGGGTTGGCCTTCTGGGCTGCCAGCGCACATCGCCAGCTCATGTCCAGCTTTTCATCCATCAGTACCCCCAAGTCCCTCTTGGCAGGGCTGCTCTCAATCCTTTCTTCCCCCAGCCTGTATTGATACCAGGGGTTACCCTGACCCAGGTGCAGGACCTTGCACTTGGCCTTGTTGAGCCTCATGAGGTTCACACAGGCCCACCTCTCCAGCCTGTCCAGGTCTCTCTAGATGACATCCCATCCTTCTGGTGTGTCAACCGCACCAGTCAGCTTGGTGTCATCTGCAAACTTGCTGAGGGTACACTCGATCTCGGTGTCTATGTCATTGAGGAATATATTAAACAGCACCGGTCCCACTACGGACCCCTGAGGGACACCACTTATCACCTGTCTCCATCCCGACATTGAGCTGTTGACCACTACCCTCTGGATGCGACCATCCAACCAATTCTGTATCCACCGAGTAGTCATAGAATCATAGAATCGCTTTGGTTGGAAAAGACCTTTAAGATCATCGAGTCCAACCTTTAACCTAACCCTGCCATCCCACCACTAAACCATGTCCCTAGTCCACCCATCTAATCCATATCTTCCCAATTTAGAGAGAAGGATGTTGTGGGGGACCCTGTCAAAGGCTTTACAGCAGTCCAGATAGATGACATCTGTTGCTTTTTCCTTGCCTGCTGATGCAGTCGCTCCTTCATAGAAGGCCACTCAGTTGGTCAGGCAGGACTTGCCCTTGGTGAAGCCATGCTGTCTCAAGTCACCTCCCTGTCCTCCATGTGCCTTAGCATAGCTTCTAGGAGGATCTGTTCCATGATCTTCCCAGCACAGAGGTGAGGCTGACAGGGCGGTCCTCCTTTGTGCCCATCTTTAAAAAGGGTAGAATGTTTCGCTTCTTCCAGTCCCCGTTCATGAAATTTCCATAGCAGCTGCCTGCAGGCATGTAGGCTTAGGATGGATGGTATCATATAGGCTGAAAAAAGACTTAAAACTGAAACACAGACTGCCAGATCTGTAACTTAAGCTTTAAAGGAAACATTGGGATTTTGGGAGTGGGCTTTTATACTATTTTTTTTTACCCTCCAAAGGTGTCCAGAGATGTCCATGCTACCTGAATTTTAATGAAGTGAAATGATAGGATACCAAGGGGAGGAAATGTTACTTTTCGTTTTCTCTTGTTAACAGGGAGAAGATTTTTACTAGAAATGAGAACTTGGGTTGTGTGAGGTAAACTTCTTTTTTTCTCAATAAATAGTATTCCTTTGAATAAAAAGTCCTGAGTTCTCAGACCACCTATTTAATATTTGTGTATGTCCTAATATTTGCCTTCAAATAAATTGAAATATTATAAATTAAGGTGTAATACTTAGTTCTATCTAGTCTCTGTGTTATGAGAATTTCTTGGGAAATAGGGTTAATGACAAAGCAAGAGATTTTGAATGTCAGAATTTCAGGTTTCTTGTTCCTCAAATTTGCTTTTTAGATGGGTGTTCAAGCGTTTGGTGAGGTTGAGTACAATCCCACCTATGACAATTTCTAGCGGATTGAGAAGAAAGGTAGTCTTGGGTATAATTATTTTCATATACATTTTTGGAAAAATAGAGATCTGTTGTGCAAGAATGCTCTGAGTACTAGCCTTGTCAAGTTTGGCTCCCCAAACTCCAAACTTCTTGTCAGCTGGTTTCTCTGAGCAAGTGTGGCAGCTGGTGTGTTATTTGACAGGAGTCTGTTGTGACAGGAAGCAGAAGAGAATTTTACTGGCATGAGCTGAGGACAGCAGAGAACTGTAAACCAGGCAGGAACCGCAAAATCCATTTAAACCTGGGTTCCACTACTGCTGCTGCTCACAGAGCTGCTTTCTTTGATAGGTTGGTAAACTCTGTTTCCTACTAAAATGGCAGTGTAACAAGCTGCACAGTATGTGTTTGATATTTGTTCATCGGTCAAAAGAGCATCCTTTTCCTATGAGGGCAGGCCAGCTAGAAGTCATTTTACAAAATCAAACTAACGGAAGTGCAGCATCAGCAGAAAAAAATCAGGCGGTCAGGAGAGATGCCCAGTCTTAATAGCCAGTTCTAGTACATGCTTCTCTGCAGCAAACTATGTGCGTTAGAAATGCCTTGCAGTTAACGTGCATCAGGAACTCAGTTTGTAAACATGCACATTTGCAGAGGTAACGAGAGTTTGTGTCTGAGTCA